GGACAGGCCAGCCGGGGGGGGGGGGGGGGGGGGGGGGGGGGGGGGGGAGCATCTCGTGGTCACACTGCACGCAAGCCACCCCCGCCCCCAGAGGCAGCCGTGAACACAAAGGCCGGACCCCGTCCTGGGCGGTGGCTCCCGACCGCCCTGTAGACGAGGGGCCTCTTCAACCGTGGCCTCTGCGCGGGGACACCGGAAGGTCGGGATGGGACGGGCACAGGCCCGAAGCGCTTTGGTGTCGCTGCTCTCAGTTCACGTGGTGCCTTTCTCTTCTTCACTTCCTGTCAGGAATCTATCCGCGTTTCTTCTATGTTTCGAAGCAGTGCTCCACGTATTGTCCAGTAAGTGCTCCGTGTGCTCCGGGACTCAAGACCTTTGTCCTCGTCGAGCCTATGCCCTTCCTGTACGCGCACTGCTGTTCGGGGTTCTTGTGCAATACGCAGAAGCCGAACGTCCGCGAGCCGGAATTCAGAGAAGGCGGACGAGCAAGCCGCTTGAGGAGCAGCGGGGCCTGGCTGGCCGCCTTCCTGACTCTGTCCTCTGTGTGAGGGGCCTCGGGCGGTGCCTTGGGAGCGCGGCACCGATGACCCGGACTCGCCGCAGGTGATGGGAACCTCAGCATTAAACCTGTTTTCCGCTGGTTAACGCGTGGTCTGCCTCTCGAGGGGCGGAGAACAGGTGGGGGGGACCAAATCCATTCGGCCCAGCCCGATGCTCCCTTTCGAGCAAGTCCGGCCCTGGCGGTGGCGGGGGGAGGGGGGGCCTCGAGTACTAGTGTTCGTCTCTGAACGAAAGGCTTCTAACTGTTCGTGGCCGACGCTCTCTCTCCTTCTGTCTGTCTGCGAGGGTTTCAGCACTGCTGGGGGGCCTGAGGGTCACCCGGCAAGGGAAGCGCTCGGAGGCTCCCGGCCTTTGCAGGATCAGGGTCGGTGGGAAGACAGGATGCAGTGGGCGGGAGACGCCAGCAGGGAAGGGCTCCTGGGCAGGGCACGGGGTGCGGGGATGTGGTCCCAGGGACGGCCCTCCTGTGACGGGGGCGGCACCGTGGCTGCTCTGCCTCAGCTCCTCCCACATCAGGGATCCTGTGGATGAACTCGGACTTCGTCCAGCGACTGGCACAGGTGCCTGGGCTCACAGGTTCGCCCACGTGCCTTCGACCAACACGTGAGCCTCGGCCAGGGAGAGGGAGCAGGGTCCTCTTTTCATTTCTCAGCTGAGCTGCAGCCGCCAAAGAGGCGTGAGGGTCACACTCCCCGTCTGCAGAAGACTAGGGCTTTCTTCTCCTGACCCTGTTGACTCCCTGTGGGGGCTGCACTGAGCACCTCCCTCCTGCACCTTCCTCTCCTCGCCCCCTCCCCACCTGCTCTGACACGGCTGACCCAGGGACACGGCTGGGCGCGGCACCCTGGGAACCTTCCAGAAAGAGTCTCCGTGGCCCCAGAAGGAGGCAGCATGGTGCAGGCCGTGGATGGTTTCTGGGCCATCCCTGAGGCACGGACGAGGCCCGTCTCTGTCACGTCGGAACCCTCCACGGCAGAGGCCTAAATGCATCCTGGGGGCCGGTGCAGAGGCGGGGCCCCCGAGGGTTGACCCGCAACTCCAGGAGTGGAGAGGATTTCAAACAGGGTCTGTCACCTCCTACCGTGTGCACGTCCCTTTCCCCGGCACAGGCTGTGTGCTCGCGTCCTGCCGATCACGCTCGTCCTCAGGAACAGCGTCCCCCAGCTGCCCCGAACTCACAGCCTGGGACTGGAGCTGGGGGGCCCCTGTTCTGTAAGGGGAGGCAAAAGTGGGCGCCTCCCCACAAAGAGCAAGAGAGGCGGGATGTCACCCCCACGCAGGACCTGGGCCGGCCACCTGACGGTGGAGTGTCTTCAGAGACAGGCCAGGGACAGGCCTTGTAAGACAGCAGGGAGCCCAGAAGTGGGCGTCTGGAGAAGCCCTACCACTGGAACTGGCCGGGGTTTGGTGAGCTGATGGGGACAGCTTTCACTG